TTGGTTTAGTACGAATGTTGAAATTGCAATAACAAACAAAAAGACACAAAAAGTGCAAAACTAATTTATGCTTTAAATAAATTTATTTTATTCTTATTTTTGGTTTGTTATAAAAAATTAATTAATGAAATTTGAAAAATAATCGCTACAACAATTTCCTGGCCTGATGTCATCAATTTTGGAAGAACAAAACAGTTTCGAATAGTTAAGCTGCTGGGCGACTAACAGTTCGATTGTCGTGACGAATAACCACGTCAAGAAGACTCATGTTGGGAGTAAGGAAATTGACCAATCGATCTGCGCCAGTACGTGGTAAACGATCGAAAGGATAACCCATGGAACGACGATCTGGATAACGACGATCACGAACACCACAATAAGAAGCAGCATCGCTACAGCTGCCAACCAATTCTTGATCAACCTGAAAAATATATTTACTTCATGACCATTCTATATATATTGTTTAATTTTCCTACTCTATCATCTTCATAATTCGACACCATAACAAATATTTCACAGGGCATACCCTCTGGTAAACCTTTGGGAATCAACATATGCTGTGGCCAGCCACAACCGCAGAAATTGAATTCCAATTCTTCAGGTGAGCCTGCCGCAGGACGACTTCCATCTAAATTGCGGAAAGTACGCTCAAATGGTATAGTTACACTGGACTCCGTTGAACGACGACGTATTGTGTTTTGCCCGGGGTTCACTAATAATGCACAAAAGCAGTAACAGTTAATGTAAAAATATACATGTAACATACATATGTAAAACGTAACAATGATTGTTTAAACATTTACATATACTTACAAGATACAATAAATTTATCTAATTCAATCATAAGCAATCTTTGATCTCTGAGTAACATTGCCTGGCCACGTTCATCTGTTTTAGGACCCAAGAATATACGAACAGTGCCAAAACGTTGAGCTCCACTGTCATTATTAACGTTAATAGTGTACAAAAATGGTGTATGCTGTAAATGAGTAAAACGTGCAAATACATTCCCGCGTGGCACAAAGTCCATACCACGTGACAGATCAACATCAGATTGCTGCCAGAATGTTGTCAAGATGTTAGGCTGTCCTCCATCTGTAGTTAATTGCACACCAGCGACGGAAATACCTTGATATTCAAGTTGTGGCACTGTATATGGATTTAACCGGGTTTTGTGCTCTTGGAAAATATCATCAATGTATGCATGCCATCTATAGAATACTGGATCACGCATAGCTGTTGCAGAGTCACCCATTACTCCAAAAGATTCCAAATGTCTGTGGTCAGGATCGTGTGCGTATGATATGAAAACGTGGCCCAAATTGTGGAAATCTCCATATAGTGAACGGTTAGGCGATACAATAGATGATTCTATCATGTTTCCAAGTAAATCAATGCCTCTAGTTTCATCAAGTTGTATACGATTACCACTTTCCTAAAATATGTAATTATTTATATAATAATTCAATAATCATTTAAAGTTATTGTATTTTTATTCGTATACATAAATATAAATCAAACTTACATCGACTACAAAGCCTTGATGTATGGCTTCGAAAAGACGATCTCTCCAGCGCTCTAAATCAGACACATCTACATTAATTTGGTCTAACTCACGATTTAAGTCAGATAATGAAGTATTATTGAAACGTGGTGGCCAAGCGCGACTTGATACAAGTGAGTCCATTTTGGGGAAATATCCTTCAGCAATTGGTTCCCTCAAATTATTAAAACGTACTACACGTGCCAAATTGTTACTAAATCGCTCTAAATTGTAACGTGCAACGACTTGTTGATGCATATAATAGAAAAGTTCCCCACGACGATCCTTATCCACAATTGCGCGATCACCAGCCTCGAAAGGATAAACTAAATGCCAATGCCAATGATGGAGATTTATACCCATATCCTCACGGAAGTACCAAAGACGATGTTCTGGTTCCAGATCGGAGGCAGTGTAATCACGAGGAATAATAATTGGCATACGTGAACCCTCAGGAACTACCACAGCTTCTTCACGTGCTTGCCTAAAAATTTGTGAATCTACAAATTTTTCAGGAAAGTTCTGTGCAAATGAAGGCAAGTCAAGACCCTTGGTATCGGGGCGATGTAACAATGCCACTGACAGTGCATAATTGAACAGAAAAGGATTAATACGATCACGAGCATAAACGGCAACACTTTGCAAGTCATCTATGGAACGCATACCAACAAATATGTCAATCAAACGTGCCGCAATACGACGATGTCCAGGAACAAAAAGTGAAAATTGCTCATTACGACCCAACGACATTGGGATACGCAAATCAGGAATTGAAATTTCACGCACAGGAATACGTTGCTCTGCTGTCTCTCCAAAACGACTTTGCACTACACTTCCAATTGGACGATAACGATCAGTTAGAAACTTATCAGGCAAATCGAACTGCGTTGCAGTTTTTCCCTTGTTCATAAACACTGGTTCATTGGGACGATCGAAGAGCAACAATAGATTATTTTTATCTGCCATTTTTAGAGGAATTGCTTATTAATTTTCCTTCACACTGTGACAATACTTCAATACTAACTCACTGAGTAAGAAGTTGAAACTGATAGATTGAAAGGAGACCCTTGGGTTATTTATACAAATGTAAACCATAGAGGGTAATGTACATAAAACTATCGAGAAATAGATAACTTCAACAGTAGAAAATGCGTGTGCAACTATTTTGCGGTTAAGTGCGTTTTTTTAGGGAACCCAGTCAAAAATTTTGCGGTTTTCACTTAAGTTTTAAAAAAATGTTGCACACGGCTTTTTATTTCTTACGTACCCAAAAATTCATAATTGCTTCAATGAAATATTTTACTACAATAGCATGTAATTAGAATTATTTTTCACAGAATTTTAAAGCTTAAAAAAATTATTTCATTGCTAAAGAAATCGCTTGTTATAAACAAATTTTGAAATATGTGATATAAGTTTATACATTTAATAGTTAAAATAAAATTAAAATAATAAATTGAATTGCAATTAAATTCGAGTCAAGTACAAATATATTATTTTAAAAAAAACACATTAAGAAATCTAGGAAAAATTATTTTATTTTCACATATTGATACTTATATTTTATTAACTCAATTATTACGAGTACTTCCTCCGAAATTTGTGTTAGCATTCATTCAGAGTACTAAATTGAATTATTGTGATTTATATTTTAATTTTATTCAATTTTTATATTAAAACCACGCCCCTACTCAATTACTTAATTTTTTTAGCAACTCCTTTTTTATAGGTAGGATTGTTCATGACTGTCACGATCTTCACAATATATAGAAGTAGCCCACACTGTCATCTATATAAACTTATTAATCCTTGAATTCGATGACAGAACTTTATATTTTATTAATATAAATTAAAAATTTTTATTTTTATGATATATTTTTGTAAAATAAAGTTTCAATTGGTTTTATTATTTTTTACATATGAAAAGTTTTAAATATTATTTATTTTACTTACTTACTTCGAGTTCCAGTTCCGAGACATCCTTACGTCATTCACTGCTGACTGATTTTACGTGAAGGGTGCCGAACCCTGTTCACAACCCAAGTTTAAAGTCCTGGCGATGGGACTCGCTGTACGCACTATTAGTTCATTACACAGCGAGTACCAGGTAACTATCTAGGGGTACCACATGGAAACTGTGCTACGACTTGGATTGAAGACAACAAGGATTGTGCTAGCATTTTACATATTAAATGCCATCAGACATGTTGCTTTGTGTACTCGCGCCAAGGGGCACGCGGCCCTCCTTTCGCCCAATCAAATCTAAAACAGTTTATTAATAGATATTTATAGAAAAATATTTTTTGCTGAATTTGATTAAACAAAAAAATTTTTAATTTTTATTTATATTATTATTATTATTATTATTGATAATGGGATATATTTATAATATAAAAAACAAAACACAATAAAATGAAAAAATTTGCAATTAAGCAATAAGTTGATATAGGCTAGGTATATTTTGTATAAGCACACCGCAAATCGCCAAGCCTTTATTTCTTTCCCAGCTCTTATATATAAAAGCATTTCGTAATTACTTATTAGTTTCATATTCAGAATAATATTAGCACTTAAGGCGCTAGAACTTAAAGTCAATGTCAATGTCAGAATATTATCGCACATTCATCAATCAAGTAATCGTAGGGGTACCCTTCTTCCGCACCGATGTTTATTTAAACAACCTCAGCATTTATTAAGAAGATGTTTTAATATAAATAAAAATATTGAGAGAATCTATCAAAATAATATAGTAATTATCAAGTCGCATGAAAAATTCATTCCCATTAGAACTTTAAAATACAAAGTTTAAACACAATCCTAGGTATAAATAAAACTTAAATGAAAATGAAAAGATTAAAATTTTTAAATTAATCCATACGCTCCTTTTTGATTTCGGCAGCCAAAAATATATGAATAATTCTTATTTTATATAAGATTGATTCGAATAGGAAACCTCAAGGTTCTTACTTGCTTCTCTTATAGTAAAAGTTTTCTTGCAGATATGTAATAAATATTGTGAGTTTGTTTTTGTATGATTGAAACTGATAATACTTCAACAAATACTTTATCTAAACCCATATTAAAAAGCATTTAACCCTCCGTTAGGCACATAGGTCTGGCCAGACCTTTTTTGATTCCAAACGCAATTTATATACATTTCTAATTTAGCTAGCGATTTGAAATTGCAGACACCCTCTTATAATATTATTAACTATAGATCTACGAAATGTACAAAATCGTGGCGATGGAGCCTATAGAAGGATAATTATAAAAATTGTTTGGTGTACACATCATATACGGACTCCTGACTCTGTCCAGACCCACATACAATTTCTATGAAAAATGATATCATTTTTTCATCATTTCTCACTTTTTGTTGATATTTTATTGCTAAAACTGCCATTTCAGACTATCGAAAGGGTTAGATTGTTTATTAATAACAATAGACAAAAAAACTTCATGAAAATCAATCGATAATTACAAAAATTAATGTATCCAAATAATTGTCAAATTCATGCTTTTTTGCGTTAAGTACACGCATATCAGAGAACAAGGGAGATTAGTATCAACTGTCGAGAAACAACTATATCGCTGAAAAAATTGCGAACCCAACACTAATAATGCAGATGTAGATTAGCTTCCTGAACGAAATAATAGAAGACGCACTCCGAACCGTAGCGTAAGTCCTGACCCTTTCACACTAGAAGAGATAATCAAAGCGATAGAGTGGAGGGCAATTTAGACACCATATTTTGTGGTCATCTAGCAGTGGCTTTAGCCAATGTTATAGAATTGGTTGAAGCTATCAAATAAGATTAAAATATCGATCTATTTCCTAATGATGATAAAAATAAGCCAAATGTAATAGTCAACAGTGAAGACGACAATAAGGAAGCACCTGAAATAGAACAACAAAGTACTGAAGGTGATTTTTATGGTAAAGATAGCACAGAGTGATATAAAAATTAGTTAAATGCTGGTGTCTCTTATATTAACATCGTATATTAATGCATTAACTCATTAAAGTAGGTATCTAATATTTAGGTACAAATGTATGAAAATGCTTATGGCTCTAACCAGACTCATGAGCCTCGGACTTTTTTCTACATTACCTAATACACCTAATTGTTCTCATTTAAATAATAAAATATGAACAGATCCTATTTAAATTCAATCATAAAAATTGTTCGAAATCAAAAGAAGCAAATAATATCATTTTTAAATTATATTGCTAATTATTTTTATTTATAAATTTTTTAATTATATTTCATAATTTCGTGTTCTGATTAAAAGAGCAAATCCAATTAACGGTTCAGTGTTTTGTATTGTAATATCTCGTGTAGCATATCCTTAAGCAGTTGGGCGTAAAACAGTTCTATTTTCATGACGTATAGAGACATCGACAATGCTCATATTGGGAGTTAGGAAATTAAGTAAACGGTCAGCACCAGTACGAGGTAGGCGGTCAAATGGATAACCCATCGGGCGACGGTCGGGATAGAGACGATCACGAACACCGCAGTAGGAGGCAGCATCATTACAACGACCAACTAATTGCTGATCAATCTATAAACGAATACAAATAAAACTTAATAAAATATTTCACAAACTATAAGACGTAATATCTGACCCTATCATCTTCATAATTTGAAACCATAACAAATAGTTCGCAACGCAAGCCCTCCGGAAGACCTTTAGGAATTAACATATGTTGTGGCCAACCACAACCACAGAAATTGAATTCAAGTTCTTCAGGTGAACCAGCGGCTGGACGAGCTGCATCCAAATTACGGAAAGTACGTTCAAATGGTATAGTTACACTAGATTCTGTTGAACGACGGCGAACAGTGTTTTGACCCGGATTCACTAAATAGTGAGTATATAGAAAATAAAATATTATCAATAAATAATATTATTATTAGCCAATTATGGAATGTTTTAAAAAATAAAAATAAAATATTTAAACTTACACGATACAATGAATTTATCTAATTCAACCATTAAGAGTCGTTGATCTCTGAACAACATTGGCTGACCACGTTCATCTACTTTGGGTCCCAAAAATATGCGTACAGTGCCAAAGCGTTGAGCGCCACTAGCGTTGTTTACATTAATGGTATAACTGAATGGTGTATGTTGCAAATGCGTTATGCGAGCAAACACGTTTCCACGTGGCAAAAAGTCCATACCACGTGAAAAGTCAACATCCGATTGCTGCCAGAATGTGGACAATACATTTGGTCGTCCACCATCACTACTGACTTGTACTCCAGTTACACTAATACCATCGTAGCTGAGCTGTGGCACTGTATAGCCATTAAGACGAGTTTTATGTTCTTGGAAAATATCATCAATATATGCATGCCATCTATAGAAAGCTGGATCACGCATTGCAGTAGCAGAATCGCCAATTACGCCGAAAGATTCCAAATGGCGATGATCAGGGTCATGAGCATATGATATGAAAACGTGGCCCAAATTGTGTAAATCACCATACAGATCACGATTTAGAGAAATAGTTGAAGATTCAACCAGATTTCCAAGTATATCAATGCCCCTAGCTTCACTAAGTTCCGTACGATTGCCACTTGCCTGAAAATAGGGAAAAATTATCATTCCACATTATATAGCACGGGTATTTACGTATATAACTCAAATGTTACTTACATCTACAACAAAGCCTTGGTGAATAGCTTCAAATATCCGATCCCGCCAACGCTCCATATCGGAAACATCTACATTTATTTGATCTAGTTCGCGATTTAAATCCTTTAATTGTGTTCTTTCAAAGCGTGGAGGATATGCTCGACTTGACACTAACGAGTCCATTTTAGGGAAATATCCTTCAGCAATTGGTTCCCTCAAATTATTGAAACGTACTACACGTGCCAAATTGTTACTGAAACGTTCCATATTATAACGTGCCATTATTTGTTCATGCATATAATAGAAAAGTTCTCCACGACGATCCTTATCCACAATTGCGCGATCATCGGCTTCAAAAGGATAAACTAAATGCCAATGCCAGTGATGAAGATTTATACCCATATCCTCACGGAAGTACCAAAGACGATGTTCTGGTTCCAGATCGGAGGCGGTGTAATCGCGAGGAATAATAATTGGCATACGTGAACCTTCAGGAACAACCACAGCTTCTTCTCTAGCTTGTCGGAAAACTTGCGAGTCCACAAACTTTTCAGGGAAGTTCTGTGCAAATGAAGGCAAATCAAGATCCTTTGTATCAGGACGATGGAGCAATGCAACCGATAATGCATAATTGAACAAATACGGATTAACGCGATCACGAGCATAAACGGCAACACTTTGCAAGTCATCTATGGAGCGCATACCAACAAAAATATTGATCAAACGTGAAGCAATACGACGATGTCTTGGAATAAAGAGCGAAAATTGCTCATTACGACCCAACGACATAGGTATACGCAAATCAGGAATTGCAATTTCACGTACTGGAATACGTTTCTGTGCTTGCTCACCAAAACGACTTTGCACCTCATTTCCAATTGGGCGATAACGATCAGTTAAAAACTTGTCAGGCAAATCAAATTGCGCGGCCGTTTTTCCCTTGTTCATGAACACTGGTTCATTGGGACGATCGAAGAGCAACAATAGATTGTTCTTGTCAGCCATTGTTTTAAAATATTCACAAGATTGAAAGGTTGAGTTTAAGAAAAATTTAACTTTGCTAAAGAAGTTCCAGAATGAAACTACTGTTTGAACAATTGTTGCAAGGGTGCTTTTATATGTAATTTTTGCGATATTTTAGAAATATGTAATGAATAGAAAATTTCAAATTCTTTAATTTGTGGTTTTTACATTTAAGTAAATATAAGTAAATTCAATTATGCATTAAAATAAATATAGGCTTATCTGTTGCACACGACATTTTTTTTCTCACTGCACACGACATTTTTTTTCTCACTGCACACGAAATTTTTACAAAATGCCAATCACAATTTCTGGATAGGAACCGTTTGTGGTTTCCATATAAATGGGTTGCTGGTGTATTATGAGAAAGAAAACTGAACTATATTGTATTTTTAAGTAGAAATTTATATGAAATGTATGTTTCCAAATTATAACATATTACATTTTTTTATCATGGTATTATTACAGATAGAAACCTTCGGATATGTATTCCATAAATACATATCTATTTTTAATTTTTTAATTAAAACTAAATTAGTATAAATATTTTCAGTCTTTTATATATACTGATAAACTCATATACCTATACCCAGAATTAGATAATTTGTCTCATACAAACTCATACTTGGAGAACATAATTTTTCCACCACAATCATTTGAAATTATATCGAAAAGTTTTTGTTTTTAAACCCATCTGCATTTTAATAATAATATCTATCTAGATGAAGATCCGTGATTATATCCTTCTGACATCAGTTTTTCATTAAATGAAAACTTAGTATATAATACAAATTTTCCCTAAGTAAATTTTAATAAACAGATTTATGTATATATATTAATATATTTATTTATATTTTGAATATTCGCTACTTACATATACAACATACATAAATATGAAGTAAATATATATATATCTTTATATGTAATATTTTAGTTTGGTAAATATTTGCATTTAGTTTGATCCTTGTTGATTTTATATTTTGTTACTATTGTACTTCTTTAAAATAAATTTATTTCTTAAACTTTAACAATTATTATATATTCTTATATATTCAACAAATAAATAAAATGATATATATTTATATTTGATTTTACATATATTTTCCCTAAAATTTTTTATATATTACTGTTAAGAATCTTAGGCAACAATTCGATCCTGTGAAACTTCGTTTCTAGTTTTTCATCACTTTTGTTAATATTAATTTAATGATCAATTCATAAATTAATTAATTTTAAAGAAATTTGAATAAAAAATATTAAATATGTAATATAACAAATAGGTAAATATTTAGCAATATTATAAAAATATACTTAAAAAAAATGAATTAGTTATTGATAAATATAGTAAATATATATAAGCATACTGCTTTAAACTTATAAATTGAGAATGTAAAAACATAAATTAATTAAAAAGAAATTTATTTTAATATATATTATATATTTATTTCTAACTCTTTAACTTATGATAGTATCACAAAATATAAATTCAGGTATGTGTTTATAAAGTAAAGTTGATATTCTTAATTTCTCTAAGTTAATATTCTTTAAGAACTCTCTCTCTTGAATCAAATACAGAAATGAACAATATTTTGGAAATATCTAGCAATCATCACACTAAAGAAAATTCTAAAGTACTTAATTTGTTGCTCTGAATAATAATATATCGTTCAATAATATATCGTAACTATTAAGAACTTTTTAGTGCTGTACTAAATCATAAATAAGATGAATTTTATAATTTCAACTAAAATAAATTACTTTAATGACAATCTCTTTAAAGGTATTTATACCTGATTTTGTTTCTAGTAGTGAAGAGACTACAACATAAAGTGCCGAACATTGAAGTAATAGTTTATATGAGCTCATAGAGTAAATTTTTGGAATCTCTAAATATTATAACAGTTTGTGTAAAGCGCTAGAGAAATATTTAGGAAAAACAAAATTCTATGTTTTAAAGGAAAAATATTGCTTTTGAATACTTATATTTTTATTTGAAAATAAATTCATAATATTGTAAGAAAAATGTTTGTACGCATTCTAATGTCATATGTGCAAATTTTAGGAATATTTGCAATTAAAAATTTTTTGAATATGCTATTTAAGAAATTCAGGATATAATTATATTCCATTATATACAGAGCCCATAGTATTTTAATATGAATACCTACCACGTGTATAGCACCAAAGTGCTCTTAACATATGAATCAGTATAAACCAAAAATAAATGTCCCCATCGGAATTACAAGCGAGGCTCATATAACACCTCTGTTATTCTTTGAGGCTCAGTCCTTTTAGAAAATTCAATTCCACATCGAATGATAGGAATATTCTAGCCGCATCACAATAGTCTCATCAAAGGAGCTAACTTTAATTGTCAGCCAACAGCCGATGATATGACCCCTACCCCCTTTTACCATACACTCCAAATAATATCGAATGTGTATGTGATGTGTTGTGTACTTAATTTTAGAACCCTTTTACGACAGGCATGCCTTACCACAGGACTATTCTAACCCCGTTCTTATGAGTGTTCCACTTTTTACAATAAAATGCAATTAAATTTAGAAAGATGATATGTTTTTTTGCAAACATAACTAATAGTAACGACCTAAAACATCGGATAAATATATTTTGATTTCACATGAAAGTACAATATTATAAAAATAACATGAAAGTATTATAATGTCATCTTCGTTCCACTTACATTGAATCTGTGATGGTTTTCGAACATTTTATTGTAGCTATAAAACGAAATTTAGAAACTATCGCCTTCTCGTTCTAGTTCTATAGATTTCAGTAGTTTTTCGAGAGTTTGGTTAATAAAAGTGTTACTCGGATACCGTGCACTCTACACTTGATTGTTAAAACAACAACTATCCATAACACTTCTACAATAAATAATATAATAATAAGCAAACACTCAAGCACTAATTAAGTAAGAAGAAATACTTGGTAATCGAATAAATAATTTCATGAAATCTACTGTAATATATTCAATTAGTTTTTATTCAGAATTTGGAGAATCTGCATATGTGAGATATTCTTTATGATTTTGCAGAGTTCATTATTAGGGATCGTAAATACCACTCCTATATTCCACAACAAATAACTAGTAAATTACATAAAAGCACTAATTAAGGAAAAACAAATAATACCAAGGCAGTTAAATAGTTTCTGAAAAATTGCTATGAAATAATCGAAAACATTTAAAAAGGGACCTTTATGATCAGTACATGTATAGTTACTTTTGGAAAAAGATATTTTATAAGTTGGAAAAAATGCAGTATAAGTAACTTATTTTAATATGTCTGAGTATTGTATATAAAATATCATCGCTAATGAAGAGAATTCTTATTCAGATTCAAATAAAATAAATATAAATTATTTGCTGATGGCGAAAAATTAATACTTAAGGAATTTAATTAAATTTTTTATTAAAAATATTAAAAAAAGAAATTTCAAATAACTCTAAACTAATATTCTGTATATATATATATATATGCATATGCCTATATACGCGTGTATAAAAATAAAAATATTTACTTAATTTTGAACTGAAATACATTTTGTTTAGTATTGATATGTGCTTGTAAGCTCTTGGAGTTAATGTATTTTTTTTTTTGAAGAATGTATCTTTAAATTTTACACATGCAAACATTTCTTTGAATTAATAATATGCAATATATATGAAATATAATATTGTAAATATTTTCATAAGTATGTATTGGCCTTTCTTTATCAAGTGACTTATAGTTTTAAGAAACTAAAAATTTCGTTAGTTAATTCCATAAATGTAAATACAATTTTAGTAGTCTTATAGAGTGTGCAAACTACATATATTTAAATCGTTAAAAATACATTTAAATATAAAGATAAAGTGCAGTATAAAAAGCTATATATTTGCAGCAAATTTTTCAAAAAAAAATATCTACCCATAAAATCTTAGCTCATAAATTTTTATAAATGCAGTGCCACAGATACTTTTGACTAGAAAATATCTATAGAAATATATGTTTCATTTTCCCTTTTTTTAATATTATATAAATAATTTTGATTGTAGTTTTAATATAACATATTATACATAAAATAGGTTATTTTAAATTAGTTTATTTTAAAATTTTAATTAACTAAAAAATGTAATTTAAAAATTATTACGAATATAATTACTAAAAACTGAAACAAAGAGTATTTAAAAAATATATCTATGAGATTTTAGTGTAATTTTTTTTATATCTTCTCAGATATTATAAATTTGAAATATTTGTTTGGTGCCCAAATCATTTTCGTTATTTTTTAATAGTTTCAATGTTTTATGCTTATTACTCGTTGAATTTTTTTCATTTAATATATATTTAATCTTTAATTTTCACTACTTACAACTAGGAACTTTAACTACATTTATGAATTTGTCTCATGTTTAAAGTAAACTATTTTATTTATGCTTTAAAAACAGTATTGCGTTTTATATATCATATCTTTTGCTTTACAAGATTTTATCTACCATTCACAAATTTTGATTTCAAAGTTTTGATTTCGATATTTTAGTACCTGAAGACCGGAGTAAATTGTTGGAAATTAACCGAAAACTCTATTTTGTGAGGAAAATAATAAAAAATATAAATCTATCACTAAAAGCATAAAAGCATACATGATATGTAAATTGCAAGAAGAGCATCAGAAAAGAAAAAATATTTCAAATCATATAAATGAGTGAAATTTTATCAAATGAAAACTAACTTATGTATAAGAATAATATATAATAATATATATAACTTAACAGTTTATGAAAAAACTTAAAGATACTAATCGAATTTTCAGTTAATCTCATGTTTTCAACATATAGGTAGATATATACTCCTTTTCTTATTCCAATAATAATACTGTATTTTAACCATTGCTTTCAAATCTATACTTTTTATTTGTGTCATTTAACGATCCTATAAAAATATTTCTTTTACGTGTTATGTTTGGTATGATTTTTAAAAATGTTTGTTATCGTTATTTTATATGGTTTGAATTTTTACAAATCCCAAAACCACTTCACATAAAGTTTTCTTTTTCATATTTTATTCATTTCAAATCCATTAAATATTCTCTCACTTTACACAAAATATTTCGAAAAAAATATTTCAGCAAATGTGGTTGGGTTTTAGTAGATAACATTGGCGTACATATATTTTCTTATTAAATATTTTAATATTATATATAACATTGAGTTGAGTAAGGTTTCACATATATAATAAAATATGTATTTTTCTGATTTTAATAATATTGCTCAAAAATGGACTAGTCAAAAAATATCTTAATTTCCGCGTTTACTTGCTGAAATATCAGTTATATTTTCACGTCCAAAGTCGATATCATGCTTACAATAGCCCATTACTATATCAGCCCTACAATCACCCATCAGATTTGGCAAAAGCACTGCAGCACCCAAAACAGTTACAATAGCACCAAACACTACCAGTCCTAAGGCTGGTAGTTTCTCTCGACTAAACAATGAATGCGGTTCCATTTGTATGTAAGCTAAACCAGGTAAAATATATGCCAATGGTATGGCAGCCAATAGACCCTACATAATACCATGAAATTATATAAGCAATTATGTTTTAGGATATAATTACAAGAAATTTTAAATAGAAATTTGTAGCTTACGTTTAATTCTAGTACGGATCCCAAGCAATCTGTGAGCGGTGATATAACAAATGCACTAAATACAATTGCAAGTGTTATAATTTTGGAGTATTCGTCAATTTCAGCACCTTTCTCTAAATTTGGATCTTTATCTTGAGTAAACTCACTTATTGGCTCCTTTAGAACAAAACGATGTACTAATGCTCTAACAATCTATTAAAAAATATATGTAATATATATTTTAGTACATTACATCTTTAAAACTTTGATTACTATTATATATAATACAAGTATTATATTATAAATAAATTAAGTTATATATTACCTCTCGAGATACAAAACACTCTATGGGAAATGTTAATAATATTGAGATGGAAAAAAGCACACGCGAAAAGTTCATCAGGTCGTCATTCCAGCAATAGTTCTCTAGTAAGTCACCTGTTAAGAATAAAAATTTTAATTTGTTTTTAATAATTAATAAGCAAAAATAACAAACTATGGTATATGATAAATAATGTGGAAAGAAAAAAACTCAACTCATGAGTGATATCGTAAGTAATAACTCATAAGTAATATACGGTGAAACTCATCTAAAAGAAACAGTGCTGCAAAGAATTACTAGAGGCACGTCCATTTCTAAACTCAGTGTCGTAAAGATACAAATATACACAAAGAGAATGATAACAATAAGGGTACAATACAAAAAGTCGCAGATTTACGAATTACTAATCAATCACGCTCAATAAAAGAAAACATCTAAAGTGTTTGTTTATATATTTTAAACAATATATGGGTTTACATATATGCAAATTAAGAATAAATAATTACAGTTTTCTAAAAGTTATAAACAAATGCTTTCAATATATCTATTATCTCAGAACATAAGTATTCCACAAAATCTGACCAAGTCAGTGTTAAACTGATTAAAATGTAAGAAAATTAACATTCCTATTTCTGGGTTACTTGTACTCTTCAGTACAAAATACTTTTTATAGTAGAAGCAGAAGAAAATATTTTATATATAGAAGAAAATAAAATATATAAATTACGGAGTGACAGGCAAATCTGCCATTAGAATATGAAAACAAACATATTTTTATATTATGGCATAATAATAAATCAATGTTCTGACCGTAGACACACAGGCATTGAAGTAGTCACCTCTTTCAACTACTACAAACCTTTTATTTCAATAATTCAACTTCTACTTTATTACTTTAAAACCTATAACATCTACAATTGATCGATAATTACTATCGAGAAGATTTACAAAAGTTTGTGGAAGTGCTTATTGAACCTTTCTATGCAAATTTTGCTGATAAATTAAATAAGATCCACTAAGTTTTGATAATTTTTCCAAATGCTTCAGATTAGTACCTGACAGTATTTTAATTCTCTTTCCTTTTAACCTATCTCGGAGAAGCTTTCCTTGTTCATTGCCTCCAAACAGTCTTCAATTGTTCCATTATTTTTAATAGTATCCATATATATCACTTAGATGTATTATTAACAACACATGCCCAATGTATAGTGCTCTGGTCTTCACCTTAGTTATTTTAATCATAACAGCGAAATTGGTTTTCATGCAACTGTGCGTCAACTTCCTAATTATTGGAGATACTTAATACCTATATCTTTTTCTCAAATGTACGAAAGCATTTATGTTATATATTTCGTTTAAGAACTTGAGTTATAAGTATATTTACTGTGGGTACTATGTTGGCAAAAGGAAGAACTGCATAACTTAAATAAATTTTAATATATTGTTACGAATTTCATCAGAGTAGCAATGAAATGTTTAAATATTATTTAAACATTACGTCAATTGATATTTTTATAAAAAGTTAGTGTTGCAATTTGTTTGGTGTGAAGTTGTCGTTTTTATTAAATTGACTCCTAATTAATACTAGTTCTTTGTAATACACAAAATATATAAATATAGTTTCTCCAATCCTAATAATTAGGATTTATATGAGTCAAGTTTATTTAAATCACTTTACAAAACTTAAATTTATTACGTACCTAAAATTTACAAGAAACAGAAGTCAAACTATTCTAAAAACGTTCGTTAATTTTTAATCATATTTTAGCGTAACATATAACGAAAACAATGATTAAGCGGTTCAAAAGATTAAAATCATTTCATTTAAAGAATAATTAACGTAATTTAGTTCAATTTTTTCCTTGAAACATACATATGGCAGAATTATATACCTATGACTATGTTCAACTTGACCTAACTATCGAAACACTTGAACTGTCAGTGGCGGTGCATATTAATATGGACTAGGTTTTAAAACCAAAAATTTTTTTGAACTGTAATGTTACTATATTTGAAAAAGTATTCAATTATATTATATTTATTAAAAAGATTTTAACACGTCATTTAAAATCTTGAGAACTCATAAAAAAATACCGCGAGAATACTGCAAGTCTTACTGCAGTACTTTCTGGTCATTGGTGTATAGGAACCCACGAGGAGAAATTGCAAATTCCTCATAATCCTCCCTGCAGAATTTGAGGAAACCAGCAAAAAAAGAAACCATATAACATTTTCTCTATGAATATCCAGCTTTGGCGTCCAGAAGAAATATGTTTTTAGAAATATATTTCTTGGACAGCTAATAAGCTGACAACTGTTCAACATTGATAAAAACGAAAGACCTATATAATTATCTAATTTCCACGTAATGAATTTAGTTTATATTCTTCTATCTTAAGGGTTCTTGCAAGGAATGTGGTGGCAAAACGGCGAAAAATCACTAATTGTGATACATGGAAAGTTATGTGATGGCCAACCACCACTTCCTGTCACGCAATTTATTTTTTAAAAAATAAAATAGGTATATCGGTATCCTGTTATTTTAAACATAACAAAAATATTAATAGACTATATAGATAATTCATGGTTTATAAATAAAGAAACGACAAATTTTAATTCAATAGAATGAATTGCAAGATTTTCTTGAAGTAATGGCAAATTTTCTTAAACCCTTGAAGAGTTAATGCCGTGGAATTGACTATTGTAAATAATCACAATATATGACTTCTATATAATTCTATATAGAAGAATTTCACGCGAATAGTTATGTTAATATAATATATGTATATATATATATATATATATATATATATATACTATATTATCATAACAGAGTACGGGTAATGCGATTATTACAGTAATTATAGCAACTATAGTAATTAATGTAGACAACACTATTAAAATATTTGAATAATAAGAATAACTTTAGTGACAAAATTTTATTTATGTTGATTAATAATTTGTAATTGATGTTGTAATTCATATTTGAATACTAATTATCTAAATCACTTCTATGTTTTTTTGGAGTTCATTGTGCTCCTGTACCCCTTAGCGTATTGCCTCTGCTTAATAAAACACAAATTTCTAATAATAAAAAAATATAAAATTAATTAAGGCTATTATCACTAATAGTTTAATAACAATATTTAATTATATTAGCACACATAATATATATAATAAAACTATATATAATGTGAATGCAATTGACATTAATTATATTTAAAGAATTTATTATCAGTATTTTTGTGATATACAAATAAACATTTTTTGCATTTTAAAGTTTTTGCTGGTTCTGAGCCCAAAGCGATAAGAAATATGTCTTTACATACAGTGGCTCACAGCTTATTTCGTGCAAGCAATATTTTTGTAGATTTAGTCGTGAAAATCCAAAATTTTGTTCAAAATAAAAAATTTTAAATATGCAACTTTAAAGAATGTTTAGTTCTTATTATAAAACAAAAAAAAAATTTAGCAAAAATATCAATATTCAAGAAGTTAAGTGAACAAAAACAAACATACACCAAATTCTGACCTCACAGCTTATTTCGTGCAATACATTTTTTTTTAGAAAATTAATCATTTTTGGCATAAAAAAGTGAATTTTAGTATTTAGTGGAATAGTCCTTTTGTTTAATTACTGCCTCCAACCCTGAACGCATTGAAATAACTAATTTTTGAGTATATTCCACTGATATTTTTTGACATTCCAATTTTAAAGCAGCTTTCATACTTTCCTTGCTATAAATGTTATGTTTTCTTATGTTAGGTTCCAGAATATGCCATAAATTTGCTATGACACTAAAGTCAGGTGATTGGGGAGGTGTTTGGATGATGTGTGACCAATTCCCAACAAGCCAAGTCTGCACAAGACCCGACTTGTGCTTCAGATCGTTATCCTGGTAAAAACAGAAATTGTTAATTATGCCTAAATATTCGGCACTTTTATGCAAATTTTGCTTTAATATATTAAGATACACTTCCTTATCCATTGTTGATTCTATAAATTGTAGATTACCTACTCCTGCCGCTGATTTACACCCCAATACTATCATATGCCTGCCGACGGTTTCGCATGCAGTTTACCAAACACCACCTGTACAAGAATAGTTCTTTCTGAAACGCAGTATTTTTTGTCAATTAGAGTAAATTTGATCTCTACGCTTCAGATGGTATATCATATGTGAAATACTATTAAAAATACGCCAAATATATCACATACTAAGCTCCAAAAAGAAAATTTATATGGCACAGTTAAACACGGTGGCAAGCATGTGATAGTATTGGGGTGTAAATCAGCGGCAGGAGTAGGTAATCTACAATTTATAGAATCAACAATGGATAAGGAAGTGTATCTTAATATATTAAAGCAAAATTTGCATAAAAATGCCAAATATTTAGGCATAATTAACAATTTCTGTTTTTACCAGGATAACGATCTGAAGCACAAGTCGGGTCTTGTGCAGACTTGGCTTGTTGGGAATTGGTCACACATCATCCAAACACCTCCCCAATCACCTGACTTTAGTGTCATAGCAAATTTATGGCATATTCTGGAACCTAACATAAGAAAACATAACATTTATAGCAAGGAAAGTATGAAAGCTGCTTTAAAATTGGAATGTCAAAAAATATCAGTGGAATATACTCAAAAATTAGTTATTTCAATGCGTTCAGGGTTGGAGGCAGTAATTAAACAAAAGGACTATTCCACTAAATACTAAAATTCACTTTTTTATGCCAAAAATGATTAATTTTCTAAAAAAAAATGTATTGCACGAAATAAGCTGTGAGGTCAGAATTTGGTGTATGTTTGTTTTTGTTCACTTAACTTCTTGAATATTGATATTTTTGCTAAATTTTTTTTTTGTTTTATAATAAGAACTAAACATTCTTTAAAGTTGCATATTTAAAATTTTTTATTTTGAACAAAATTTTGGATTTTCACGACTAAATCTACAAAAATATTGCTTGCACGAAATAAGCTGTGAGCCACTGTATATTGAAATCTAAAAATTGAAAGTAACCAAAACAAATATATAAACAGTAACCAGATTTTACTGCTTCATTAAATGAACCGCAAAATATTCAAATTCTTAGATAAAAAAGATTACTTCAA